TCCATATTTATTAAGCTAAATCAAATAGAATAAATAACCAAAAAATAATGCTTTGAATTAAACAAAATTAATGAAGAATTAATTAAACAAAATAAATGAAAAAAATAAAATATTGCACTAAAAATAAATAAGTAAATTATCCTAAATTAAGAAGCAATGCTGCTGGAAAATAAAAAATAAAGGAAGAACTTATTAATCAATAAAATAAAAGATTAACTTTTTAACAACTAAGTCACACTAAAAAAAAATACATCACCCTAAATTAATAAAATACAGTCAAACTCTGTTATAGTGAACTCCCGGATATAGTGAACGAAATGTTCGCTCACGTGCTTTGTCATACACATATAAAATCATTTTTTGTGGATATAGTGAACCAAAAGATGAGTGGAAATTGGATATTCTGAATTTTTTTCTGTCCTAGAGTGATTTTTTCCTTCATTTTTTGGTAATTTTGAAATTTCTACATAAATACATATACCGATTTTTAAAACCCTCATATTGAGTGAAATGTAGCCAGAAGCATTTTTTCTATTTGCTTCTTCTATCTCAGTTTTTCATCCCTAAATTTTTTGCACGCAAGACGAGTAATAAAAAATAAAAGTGAACACATTTTTTGTTACTACATATTGTTTTTTAAACCTTTTTGTATTTCTTTTTATTCATCATTTATTTAAATAATATGTAATAAAAGGGAGCAGTTCAGAAAAATTAGTTGAAATTGTTTGTAGTACGGATATAGTGAGCTCCCACTTACAGTGAACTGAAATTTTGGTTTCTTGAAGGTTTACTATAGCGAGGTTTGACTGTATTATACAATAATATGTATTTAATGGAAATTAAATCATTTTAATCAATTTCAAAGTTTTTAAGAACAGAAGAAAAACTTTTAAAAATCCAATATGCTTAGATTTTCTATTTTAAAAAGAAATGGATGAAATAAAGATGGAACCAAATCAACGGGTTGAAAATGCTCAGAAGAAAACAATAAGAAAGAATTACTTGAGATAGGTGACTGTTTTTCAACAGACTCAACAGGATGACTCGTTGAATGAGGTTCAAATTTAGACAAAGCAGAACTTGAATTCTTTGTAGTAGGTCTAAGTGGTCCTTCTAACCTAAAATCATGTACATTTTGTTATTCTGCAAGCATTTAAGGATTTCTTTTTTTAAAAAAATATAACTTAATCCAAGCAACAAAAAAAAACGCTTACAAAAATTGAGTATTAAATGAAAAGATATAAAAAGTTAATTCCACATGAGTCGGTGACCTATCGATATCAGTCACCGACACATTAGGTTTGAGGAATAAGTGGTCACCATGGGTGTCACTGTAAAAATATTTCAAGACTGAGCTTATTTTTTTGATAAATAAACACAATCTAGTATTATTTACTAGAATTTTCAGACATTTATAGTTCACCGACTTCAGAATGTACCTTTCTATAATAAGGACTTACATATTAAATTAATTATCAAGTTTTTTTTCTTTCATTTTATGAATTTATTTTTTACAGCAAACTAGATAAAAATAACAGCTAACCTTGTACATCTTCTCACATCAACCACTGAATTATAAACTAATAATTTTTTCTAAGCTATACATATCTCTATTTATTTTTTCACTTCATCATTATTTAATTTTTGTCCGATCTCCATAATTTTTTTTTTTAAATAATAATCTCAATTTAACTTGGGGCAGCATTAAAAAACGCTTGGGAAAAATAAAAACAAGAAAATTTAGACATAACAATAGTACAAATTTTGTTTAAGCAGAGGTTCAATCTCATTCTTTCATAAATGAGCTACATCATACTACTTGATCATTTCACAGTAATTATAAAAATTATCAATGTTTACATTAAAATGCAACTTTTATTTTTTTAACAGCAAATTTTTTTAACATTTTTAAGGAAATACATAAATTTTAATATTAAAAACAAATTGAAAAGAGATATTAATTTAACTTCATCTACTGATTTTCTTTCACGACTGACTTTGGTTTATTTATGAAATTAAGTAAACAATTCCAAGCCTTAGTCATAAATAAGGTTAGCGAACAAATGTTAATAGGTTTCAAAAAATAAATCTTAACTGAGTCTATTAATCTTATCTATTAATAAACTGAGCAACCTGAATGTGCAAACTGAGTTATAAATGTTAAAATATGAGATGTTTGTTACGTATTTTACTTGAGAGGAAAAGAATTAAAAATTTCAATAATTTTAAATAAAAAAAAAATCAATAAGGGACGNCATTTTATTAATTTATTTTTTACAGCAAACTAGATAAAAATAACAGCTAACCTTGTACATCTTTTCACATCAACCACTGAATTATAAACTACTAATTTTTTTAAGCTATACATATCTCTATTTATTTTTTCACTTCATCATTATTTAATTTTTGTCCGATCTCCATATTTTTTTTTTTTTTTTAAATAATAATCTCAATTTAACTTGGGTCAGCACTAAAAAACGCTTGGGAAAAATACAAAAAAGAAAATTTAGACATAACAATAGTACAAATTTCGTTTAAGCAGAAGTTTAATCTCATTCTTTCATTAATGAGCTACATCATACTACTTGATCATTTCACAGTAATTATAAAAATTATCAATGCTTACATTAAAATGTAACTTTTATTTTTTTTTAACAGCAAATTTTTTTAACATTTTTAAGGAAATACATAAATTTTAATATTAAAAACAAATTAAAAGAGATATTAATTTAACTTCATCTACTGATTTTCTTTCAAGACTGACTTTGGTTTATTTATGAAATTAATTAAATAATTCCAAGCTTTAGTCATAAATAAGGTTAACGAACAAATGTTTATAGGTTTCAAAAAATAAATCTTAACATTAATAAACTGAGCAACCTGAATGTGCAAACTGAGTTATAAATGTTAAAATATGAGATGTTTGTAACGTATTTTACTTGAGAGGAAAAGAATTAAAAATTTCAATCATTTAAAAAAAAATCAATAAGGGACAGAAGATATCTATCTAGATGACTAAAGATATCTAAAAAGTCCTAACATCGTTTGTTGTGGAAATTTTTTAAAGCCTGCAATTAAAAAATTGGCTAAATATATATCAGCTTAATCAATGTAAGCTAATGTTAAAAAATCCAAATCCTTACCAATTAAATTTAAGTTTCCAATTTCTTAAATTTTTATCCCAAGTGGAATAAACCCTTTTTCAAAAAGAAATGTCTAAACAATTTAAAATAGCAATCGAGTTTAAATAATAACATTAATTTTAAAGCTATTTAATGTCATTCTCAAATAAGAAAACAAGAAAAAAATTATGAATTTCTTAAAAAAATAAAATAAATAAATTTTTTAATATTTTATATTAAAGAATTTAGGTTANAATAATATTAATTTTAGAGCTATTTAATATCATTTTCAAATTAGGGAAAACAAGAAGAAAAAAATTATGAATTTCTTAAAAAATTAAAATAAATCAATTTTTTAATATTTTATATAAAATAATTTAGGTTATGTTTTCAATATTTTATGTAAAACTTTATTTTATATTTCTTAAAAGAACACAATCAATTTATCAATACCACTAAATAAACAAATCACATATTAAACACAGATACTAGTAAAATCATATATTGAATTCACAATTACAAATAACATAATAATTTCCATTATCAAATAATGTTAAGCATGAATACCCAAACCAACCCTTGAATAATATGATTAATAGATTTTAAAATTTTCTTCAAAACTAACAAATATTTTTTTAAAAGTAATGTGACAAACTTTAAACTTTTTGTAACTATACAGAATTTAATTTGCTTACATATGAGTTACATAATACTTATTGTTAAACAATTGTATTTGTCAATTTTAATTTTTTTTCCATTTTGTTTTCTTTTTTTGGGGGGGGGGGGGTTNGAGGATATGTTTCTTTCACTGTCCTGGAAGAAATATGTTCAGGGTATCTGCTACATTTCAGATTTTCAAATCCATGACTTTTCTTGACTAATTCTAAGAATTTTTCATGACTTAATGAAGTTACAATTTTCTTTGACAAAAACAACGATAAATTTAAAAAAGCACTGTAATAACATTAATTGAAATGATACCTATAACCAAAACTGTTATACTCTGCATCTTCATATTTACAAATTTTAAATTTAAAAAACAGAGTAAAGAAAAAGTTCAAACAATAAAATAGCTGAAAAAATACAAAAGCAAATTATTTTTTTCCCACAGAATTACATTCTAAAGATATTTTTCTTGTTCATCAGAAAGGAAAGAATTCCTGATTTTGCTGTTCTCATTTCGGAATAAAAAAAATTCACCAATGACTAGTTTGCTTCAATGACAGGTTCAATTTTAAATTGATAAAATTAAAAAAATAATATAAATTCTTAAATCACAGAAGTTTAAAAGATAATTCGATCTAGAAATGATGCTTTTTCTTTCATTTTTTGAAAGAACACCATAATTTTTAAAGAACATGAAATTGGGGGAGGGGATTCCATTTTAAAAATTAGATTTTTCAGAGACCTAAATCCATGACTTTCCATGATTTTTTTTTTTTAAAAAAATAGTAAAAATCATGACATTTCACGACAAATTTCGTTAAATACTGAAATTTATGACTTTCCAGGTGCGCGGATACCCTGAATATATTAAGGAATTGAGATATAATTTTATTATTTGTGTGGTTGATAAAGCCTCTAATAATTTTTGCTTTATTTGCAAAATTTTTTTTAAACAATTAATGAGTAAAGAATATGAAAACAATACTTTTATCAAAATTAATAATTCTAAAAAAAAATTTGATAATAGAATTTTTGCTTTTTCCAAGAAAATAGGATTAAAACTCAATAGTTTCAATTACCCTTATTTATTTCCTACAATTAAGTTTCACAAAACACCAGTTAAATTTAGATTTGTAACTTACAGTATTGGCTGTTATAATTCTGTTTTTGGTAAAAGATTTTTTAATTATTTAAATATTATTTTANTAAAAAGGTGAGACCTCTCTTAGTGACTAAAACAATAAAACACATCCCGCTGTAACTTGATCCTCTCTCTTAACTGAGGAGATTTTTTCCCCAATTCTTATGCTGAAAGTGTCCCACCCACAGGACCCCAAGATCAGATGTGACAACTGCTGTCACAGCCCCCCAGAAAAGGTTAAACTACTCAATAAACTACCTCAGTAAGTCACTCGTAACTGACAGTATAAAGAATTATATAATAATACTAAAAAATTTACTATGTTTTAAGCAATTACTGAAAAGTTATTTAAAATTTACTTAATTTTCATTTATTACGAATCTAATTTTAATTTATTTTAATCTGTTAGTTGTACGTTTCACGTTACTATTCCATAATATGAGCACTTGCACACCTAAGCAGCATTTGTGACCTAATGGGGATTTCCTTCAAAATATGTGTGGTGTTCACTGTATTAACAATGAAGAAAGGACTCCCTGTTATTTTTTTAAATATTTTTGTATAAATAAAACTGGAGGGAAAAAAAGCTATTAAATAAAATTATTTTTATGTAATCTTATCAAGTGTAAATATTACAATAGTCTGAATCAGAAAAATAAAAATTATCTATTAGTGATTAAAAATGCTTACTTGAAGACTATGTACAACAGGAACAGGAGTAACAGTAGAGCGAACAGGGCCCATTCCTTCATAAAAAGTATATTCTGCTTTATCAGTGTTAATGATTGTCCAAGAAGCCCCATCATCTCCTTGTTAGGCTCTTTAGGACATGGAGTAGCCTAATGAAAATGCAAAATATATTGATTTCAATTTAAACTGAAATATCCAATTTCATTAGTACATTAATCATGAAAGAATAATGTTTTTTATCATCTCAGTATTATTATCAGCATCACCTCCTTAACTATCATTAATTTAGGAGAGGAAAGAAGAAATTTTTAAAAAATAAAACAATATCATCAATACCTAAAGAAAGAAATAGTGCAAAAGTGAATATGAAAGGTATGAACGCCTGCTAACAAATCTTTGCTAAATTACCTCCAAACAGCATAATGTATTACAGTAAAAATTTGTGAATAACACTACTGAAAGTAATGAAAAAGGTTAATGATTAATTTGTGATCTTAGTTCTAATTCATTACTTTAAGCTAGAGCAAAGCACCGTTTATATGCTCATCATTTATATGTTTTCTCATTTATATTATATCATTTTTTTTTTCATTCCTAATGTATGTCATATTAAATTATTTTGTTTTTATAATGGAGAGAACTTGAAATACTGGTTAAAAGTCATTTCTCTCAACGGTTTTTCCATTTTTCCCTTTAGGTACATAAATATTTGGCTTGAATTTGACAAACTCTAAGAGGCCATAAAAAAAAACAAAAAAAATTTCCCTTCAATTTTAGCTGAGTTATGGTCATAAAAAAAAGAGTAGGAGTTAAGAATAGAGGGTGGTCAATTAAGGGTCACTAGATAATTTGCTGGAAAAAAATAACTAATGGGTATCAAGAAGAGGGTCAGTATTTATATGACACGTCACTTTTGTTGCGGAAAGAACTTCATTCTTAAGTCCTCACGTCTCACAACGTTTAGTAATATTCTTACAAATCCAAAAATGACTCAAACACTTATGTAAAGGATACTTTGTTTTTAATTTTAATAACTGCCTCTATTATTTTCTACATCAATAAAAATACGAACAAAATCTAACTATTTTTATTATTAGTAATTACTATTATAATTAATATAATATATAACTTTATTCTCTTGCACTTTATTTAAATGTAATTAATTTTTTTATTTAATAAAATTAAATTTACTAATTTTTTTATTCAAATTTTATTTAAAGTAAAACAGAGATGAAGAAATAAAGGACACATAGAGATTGTACTTATGTACAGTCTCTATGTGTGGCACCAACTAGCAGTCTCTATGAGGACCAACTAGCAAGCAAACAAAAAATAATTATCAATTCAAAGATAAGTGATAATAATTTAGAAATTATATATCAAGGTTTCATTATATATCATCTTGTATTTTAATTGTATTTATTCTCAGAAGACAAATTGTGTGATTCAGTTATAATTTATTCCTTTAATTATAACATTTTTACTGATTATAAAGGTAAATGGTACATTTTAAAGCTCCACAGTTACTGAAAATAACAAATTTTATTAATTCTCTCAAATAATTTTTACTGTTTTACTTCTGATTAATATAAACAACTATGTGTAACATAATAGGGTTGCCACCTTGTTATATTATACAAAAATTTCCTTAACTTTTCCAGCTATTTCAAGAAAATTTCAATGTAAATCCAGACGATATTTTATGTTAGTCATGCAATTTTTCATCAGAAAACTTCAAATTTCATTAGTCATGTCAAATATAAAATTATGTGCAGATATTAGATCTTGTGAGCAAAAAAAGTATTATTGAACAAGCATGGAAACATGGAAAAGTTTTAATAAAATGTTGAATTTTTATAACAAATAATTGTAACAGATGTTAGAATTATTTAAATTGAATCTCAATAACTGATTACCGCTGCTGAAAATTTTGGGTTTCTCCAGGTATGAGAGTTTGCCAAGTTTCTGTAAAAATATGCAATTTTTCCCGATTATTCCCCGCTTTCAAGATTCAGAATAAAATTCCTTGAGAACTCCAGGTTATCCCTGTTCTTCCAGCTCGTGAGATCCCTGATATACACAACTTTTATATAAATCACTTAATCCTAATAAAAAGCATGAAAACATGAATTAATTTGGCCNTATAACAAATAATTGTAACAGATGTTAGAATTATTTAAATTGAATCTCAATAACTGATTACTGCTGCTGAAAATTTTGGGTTCTTCCAGGTATGAGAGTTTTCCAAGTTTCTGTAAAAATATGCAATTTTTCCCGACTATTCCCTGCTTTCGAGAGTCAGAATAAAATTCCTTGAGAATTCCAGGTTATCCCTGTTCTTCCAGCTCGTGAGAGCCCTGATATACAAATTTAAGAAAAAGTACATAAAAATACTGAAAACATCCCTCAAAAATTACAGAATTCAATAAAAATATTGAAATATTACATATCTACTGTTTGCAACGAAGGGGTCAATTATTAATTACCATTCATGAGAGTTTACAATTTATTGTGAATAAATTAAATCTATTAAAAAAATCTAATTAAAGATTTAGTAACTTAATTTTAAAAAAGTCATCATAGATTTTTCTTACAGTTCGTTAAAAAAAAATTTGCTACCTGAAACTGTATGATTCTTTCCTGAGATAAACAAAGGTACATTCTTTCAGTATCCTTCATGTAAAAAACACATTTATGAAGTTGTGAAACTGGATCATCAACATCTAGAAGAGCTGTCGGCTTGTCAACTTTCCTTATTATCTGTAATAAAAATATATATGAATAAGACATAATACGAGAGGGAAATACATGAACATGCATGCACATTTATATCATTATTTAAAAATACATTATTTATTACTTATTCTAAATATTTAATGCTTTTTTTAAGTCCAACAAAAATATTAAAGCAATAATGTATTATGTGATTGAATACAAATTTTTGGAGAATGTTCATTATAATTTAATGAAAAAAAGCCTCCGTTGGAACAACTGCGGCGAAAGTTTCTGGCTTTAAGTTTATTTTGGAACAGGTGTGAAATAATTTTGTGCAAAATATAAGTTATAGGGCAGATTGAAGCAACAATCACATCACTGTAACAAATTTTATTTTTGCAACAGGGTGGCCACTCAAATGAGGTTTCAAATTTCCTTGATTTTTCCAGGTTTTCCAGGTAAAAATCCTAAAATTTCCAGGTCAATTTGCTTTTTTCCCCTCATAAAGTTTAGGATGAGACCAAGAAAAGTGTCAATATTATAAAGTATTTTATTTAAAATATTTTTTTTAATGTTATTTTATCATCTCTGACTCATGGAATAGAGTGCTAGCCAGGTCACCTTATGGAAATGAGGTTACCTGGGAAGGTTCTCTATTCTTTAAGAAACCATGGGAGTTTAGCATGGTTATAATGAAGCTAATTTTGATGCAAGTGAAGTATTGTTAAGTTGATGGTATTTTAACTGTTTGGCAATACATTTTCGTCTAAAAGTGGGTATAACAGTTGGTAAAAAAATTTTAATTAAGAAAATTAGTAAATAATTTAAATTAGTAAAAATAAGAAAAATCAAAGAAAAAATTCCAGATTTTCTTTAAAAAATCCCTGATTTTGCCAGGTTTCTGTCCAAATTTCCTTGATTTTTCCAGGTTTTTTCCAGTATAAAAAAATTTCCTGATATTTCCAGGTTTGCAAGGTTCTCCAGATGGGTGACCACCTTGAAGTAAGATTGTTACATTCACGAAAATCCAAATTACTCTCAATAAAACTTAAGAAATAAAGAATTCATAAAAATTCAGTTTTGCAACAAACATAAAAAACATTAAAAAGCTCTTTAATTAGACCTAAAAGATAAACCTAATATTTTTTAATTAACAGCATGAAAATATTTTTCATTAAAAAGAACAAAATTAAAACAACAATTAATCACATAATGCATTAACATGACACATAATCACCATTTTTTGTAGCTTGAAAACAGAATTTATTGCTTTGTATTTTTTCTTTTTTTCTTTTCAAAAAAATATTAATATATAGTTTAAAAAGAAAACCATTTTTGTTTGTCATTTAAATGTGTTCAAACAACAAAAAAGTCAAAGAAGCCTAATAAGAAGAAAACAATAAAGACACAAAAACAATATTGCCACTAAAACTACCAAAAGTAATTTTTCTGTTCTGCTTTTCAAAAAGAATAATAATATATAGTTCAAATTTAAAAATAAAACAAAGACACCATTCAGAAAGATATATAAAAACACTATTGCATATTAAACCTAAGTTGTTAAATTAAAAGAAAACACAAAAAAAAGTTGAAAAATTACCAGTCTAGGTAATGCCATTCCTGCAACTGAACAGACTAACTTAACAGTAGAACCATAATGAATGTAACCATCATGAACAGTAAATTCCTCAGACTCTGATTCAGTATCATCCACTACAAAACAAATTCAGCAGAGAGAAAAGAAATTATAACATGTTTTAGATGTAAACAGCTTTACATCTGCTGTAATATAAAATAAAATATTGTACAGCTAACATTCATAATTTTGTGTTGGGAGAATCTTCTCAAACTATCTTTCTTTTTCTTTAATTTTAGGGTTATAGCTTAACACATTTTTGATAAAAGATCACATAAGGTTTAGCTTTTAAAAAAGTAGTTATGTGCATTGTAACTGACTGGCAAAATAGGACACGTGGCTGGGGCATTTAACTATTTATTTACCTTCTATTTGACCTTTAGTATCTTAGAACAATATATGGGGCTGCCAACTACTAAGCTTTAATGTGAAATATTTTTATAGAGTGGTAGACAATCATAAGAAATTAACAAAAAACTAAAACATTATCATTTAACAATTGAACATACAATTAAAAATTAAAGATTTTAAAATGTTTGGTCATTTATGGTCAAGTTTTAAGAACAAAAAAACTGGAACTAAATGTTTTTTCATATGAACTATTGAATCATTCAGATTCAATGGCGTGGAAAATAAGTCAAATTTATTATGCAAAAAGTCACTGATCAAAACAAGAAAAAACTATAAGAAATTTTCCCAAAAAGTGTAGAAAGTTGGCAGCCCTGCAATATAAGTATATCTTTAAGTGAAAATTAAGTAATAATAATAATAAAAACAACTGAATTGATAAGAGCAGTTCAGTGTTATTAAATTTTTATTGCATTTTTTTAGTTTTTTTTCTCTCCAAATAACTTAACTAGAGAGGGAAAACCTACAAAAAAAAAGCATTGTAACATATTAGTAAAGAACAGATAATAAAAATATAATTGATAAAAAAAACTTATCACAAAGTTGATGTTTAGAATTACAATTCCACAATACGTTTTTAACACAAATGCACTTGAACTATACTAAATCAGATTAATCAGGGATATGTGTAGAAGAAATGTGGGTCCGTTAACGGACCCTTCACAAAATATTTTAACTTAAAAACGGACCCTTCACAAAATGATTTTTCTTTTAATCGGACCCTTCACAAATTTGTTTATCTTTATTATTGCTTTGTTAATCGAATAAATCCTTCCCAGGGGGCAAAACAAGAAAGATGGATGTAAACGAATTAAGTTTTGCCTTCTGCAGACGATTCTTCCATTATTCGCCCGAAATAAATATTCTGCGTTCAGCAGTATAGGCTAAATACCAAATATTTGTATGTTGCATCGCTAATTTAGAAGCAGCAATTGCTGTTTATTTTTGAAGATTTAATTTTTTTTTTATTATAATTTTGCAGTGCCGAGCATAATCTTGTATCTATTTACAATTTAAAAACCCTTTGAAAAAGTTTTTTGCAATAACCGGACCCTAGTTGCACAAATTCATAAAAGCGGACCCCGGTTGAAAGAATGAGAGTAATTTTTTCACAATTTCACGAAAACCGGACCTTTCACAAAATGTCTGGACGGACCCCTGTTAATGTTAATTATACATGACGTAAGTGCTTAATGTTCTGTTTTAATGTGCCTAGATTGCTACAAAAAATGATATAGGATGTTCTTTAGAATCTAAAATACTTTTATTTAGTTTTTGTTTTTATCAAAAATAATGATGTAAATAAACATAGAGATCATTTAGAACCACCATATATCCAAATTCTAGGCTGATATAATAACATGATGATTGAATATTTTCTATTACAAATTTTAATCTTTGGACGAATAGTTGGATTTGCATTAATCCTGGAGCAAAAACTTTTCTAATGTCTAGCATTTTGGTAAGATTGAGTTAATTGGCAGGTTTATGTAGTTTTTGCATAAAGCAAATAAAAATGATTTTACTTAATTTCTACATACCAAATTATAGCCAAATTATTCAACAAAAATAAGCACCTTTTAAGCACTTAAAAAATATTTTTAAACACTTTACAGGGTTCCCACTCTTTTATCAAAGCAAAAATTAAGCACTTTTAAGGACTTTTATCAAAAAAATTAAGGACTTTTTTTGTAGAAATTAAGGCCTTAAAAATGATTATTTATCATCAAATAAAACATCATAGATTAATAATAATAGATTAAAAAANAAGAATCGCAACGTACAATATTCAAATCGCGTGAATAAGAATCGCAACATGCAAATATGAAAAGCTATGTTTGATATTCAAATTGTGTCAATAAGAATCGAGATATTAGCAGATTCCAGGCTTTGGGACCTCTGAAAGGCTTGTCAGAAGCAGCGTCGTTTGAACTGCGAAAAACGGATCTATCTGTTGGGCGGGTAAAAAATACTTTTAGGATTTGCACATACTTTTAGGAATTTTATGAATTTTAGGGGGAATGCGACCCCTGTGTATGTATACAAACTCAGAGTTGACCTAATAATAAAAAGTTTTTTCAAAAATTAGTAAAATTTGACAAAATATTACATTTCAAATATGATGAAATGTAATATTTTATTAAAAAATTTTTAAATTAGAGAATGAATATTTATACTTGTCTATGAAGCTTAACTTTTAGAGACATCAATCAGCTTGTATAAGAACTCATTGCAGCCCTCAACAGTAAATAAGAAAATTAGAAAAATGAGTAAATATTAAGTTTCAATTATTAAATTAGTAAAAGAATATTAGTATTTTAAAGAAAAAGATATTTGAGTTTTGATTAAGATTTGTTATTGGTTTGATGATGCAAAACTGTGGGACAAATTCTTTATAGAAAATTCTCTTTCTCCTACATAAGTAGTTTGAAGCATAAAAAAATTTGTCGTTAAGGTAAACCAGGGGTAATTGTGAGCCCAACTAAAAAATCCGGAAAATTTCTTGAGTAAAATCATTAATGACCCATTTCAAAATATATATACAAAGTATCTTTATAAATTTAAATCATTGTTGATATATTCAAACATGAAATTCAAAATAAATTATATGTAGTGTAATTTCAATGAATAATTACTTATAAGTTCACTTTTATCTCAAATCACATTTATTACACTACCAGAAAAGAAAAATCTACGAATGAAAGAAATGTTAAGAACAAATTCTAGTTCTATTATTTTTAAACAAAATATATTGGAATTTTTATACATAAATGTGATTGATGANTAACTGCAAATAATAATCAAAAATAGTCTTCTCAGCCGTCCGCTCTGCTATCTCGTTATTCTATTGGACGTTTACCATCGTCCTTCTACTTCCTTGTATACCCCTATAAAAGGGACGACACAATTGTAAAACCTCACTTCTTAGCTAACAATAAAAGCTTTTAAGTCATAAATCGATCTCATGGCCTATTCCGTTTATATCATTATTTCTCAACAACGAATGAAAGAAATGTTAAGAACAAATTCTAGTTCTATTATTTTTAAACAAAAGAAACTTCTAGACCTTGGATTTCCGGAAACTTCTGGATTGTAGTTAGCAAAAAATCTGGAAATCCAGATTTTTTTCGGAGCACAATCACCTCTGGGCAAACCTAACGAAAACCATAAAGTTTCAAAATATCAAAATGAAAACAAATTATGGCAGAATTACTTAAGAGTAGACAATGAAAAAGTGATCCTACCATAATCTGCATGTATTTTGATATTTTGAAAAAAAAATTTTCAGCTTTTGAAACAACATTAGATTTACCTAGACACTAAATGCACCAGAATTCACTTTTCCATAAACTTTAAATTACTTATGTAGGTGAAAGTGAGATTGCCATGAAGAATTTCTACCACTGTACAGCGACCTCTTTATAATTGGATTCAAAAATGGTGTAAATAAGAATAACTACTCCTAAATATTTTACTATTTAGTATAACCATTTTTAAAGGTAAAATGTCTTGTTCCCCCTATATGAAATTAAGAGTAAAATGAAAATAGGACTTACAGAGATGAATGGTGAAAGCACCCCATTGAGTAGAGCTGGCATGGAAGTTACCGTTCTCAACATGAAGATATCGAGTACTGGCAGTCTGGGAGTGAAGCCTGTTAAACAAAGCTAGTCTAGATCCTGAAGCTATGCACACTGCAATGAACAAAAAATACATTACTCTTTAAATAACATACATAATTAATACATACTCATAATAAAAATAAGAATAAATAACAGGATGCATAACCAAATTTTCAACAAAAAATAAGCACCTCTAAAGTACTTTTTAAACACTCAAAAAACTTTTTAAACACTCTATACATTTACAAAATGCAAAATAATTTTCAAAGACATTATAAGATCATGATAAAAACAACTAGTTTCTGGCAAAGAACTCTTTTCTGATTATATTAGCCACCATAAAAAGATCGAGAGATTTTTCGGTTCGATTTTATAGGGTGGAAAATGAAGCCTGAAATTGAGAATATCTTGAAAAATGCAGCAGAGTTGCACATGAGAGTGCAAGAATATCACCGAACCCAGCTCAGTAGTCACTCCTATGTATTTCATCAAACATGTAACATGATTGGCGCTTTTATACTCTACCGACCAACGCTTTGCCAAAATAAATTTTCCTGAATGAATTATGAAAATAATGAATAGAACAATATGAAAACCATGCTTTTGCATAATACAAAACGAAAATCAACACAGTCAAGACAAAAAATCTCATTTTCGAAAAGGGAAAATTAAGCACTTATAAAACGCGATGCATATAAAAAGCACCTTTAAGGGC